TAGAGGGCAACATTGGATTGAAATCAAAAGACTCAAATTCAAGAAAAGCACAAAGCAAAATTTATTTAGAACTAAAATTAACTGAATGAAATATTATCTATGTATCAAATACTGTTCTAACACCTTTTTTTCAATCATTTCACAGGAAACATAAAACAAAAAAAATATAAAGAGGATTGCTATATTGAAAACACAGGGTTCAAATTCAGGTAAATTGATTATATATTCATACTAAAGGAAAGACAACTATAATTCAAATTATAATTGTTTAGAACTAAAATACAAGTTGTTTGATAATTACATAGAAAATACAATGTAAGTCTAGAACTAAAATCTTATAATTGGCTTAAAAGACTTAAATTTAAATCCAAAGTTTATTCCTAAATCATTTTGAACTGTACTAATTTTTTTCAGGTGTCACAGAAGACAGAATTAAAGAGAGGAACATTACAATGAAACACATGGATCAAATTCAGGTAAATTAACATAAAAAATTGATCGCATAGACATGTTAGATGTGCATAAAACTCAGGCCCGTCACGGATGACACCTATCAGTGACGGGCCGTAGTTTAGGCCCGATTGAGATAGCATTAGTGCGACCATATCTCAAAAGTTCCCTATCTAGACAGGAGAAAAGACGGTTTTGCCTTTCTTTAGTTTTCAGACTTGCCTATACATGATGTTGGTTATTAATTACTTAAGTTAATTAATGACAAGTGAAACCACAAGAGGATAATTATTATTTTTTTTCAAAAGAGTGGATTGACATGTTATATTTGCAGTGTTACGTTAAATCAAGAGAAAGCACGTCTAAAATACCAACGATCATGTACGAGCAAGTCTGAAAACTAAAGAAGGGTAAAACCGTCTTTTCTCCTGCTAGTTAACACCGTCAAGTGTAAAAACTAACGGCATGCTACATAGGGAAGGGAAATTTTAGAAGTGCCTAGATAGGAAACTTTTGAAGTTTAGGTGCTATAGAGGGAGGAACAACTTTTTTTTATGCTACATAGGAAATTTTCTCTTGATTTTTTGTCATATGTGCACCCGAGGGGAGAGGGGGGGGGGGTGATGCGATCAGCTACCCCTCCTTACTTCTTTAGTCCTCTCTTCTGTTAGAATACATACATACATACATACATACATACATACATACATACATACATACATACATACATACATACATACATACATACATACATACATACATACATACATACATACATACATACATACATACATACATACATACATACATACATACATACATACATACATACATACATACATACATACATACATACATACATACATACATACATACATACATACATACATACATATACACGTGTATACAAAGTTTATACGTGTGTATATATAGTGTATACGTACGTGTATATATGTATATATTTCTTTTTATATGTATACACTTTTTTTATAAAACAATATATACACGTACGTATATAAACTTATGTGCATATATAAAATATATCAACTTTATATACGTATACACAAAGTTTATACACGTAAAAAAATACAAGCATACAAACTTTGTATGTGTACATATACAAAGTTACATACAAAGTTTCTATACGCGTATAAAAAGTTTATATATGTAAGTTTGTATATGCATATATTAAAAACCGAATAAAACAAAAAAACGGAAGAAAAACCGAGAAGAAACGGAAAAAAACCGAAAGAAACAGGGAAAAAAAAGGAAGAGTGAAATAAACAAAAAAAAAAAAACTAAAAGAGAGAGGGATCGCGCCATCCGCTGGCCGCCACTAGTATAGAACTTTCCATCCGTGACGGCCTATAACATGTCTGGAATTAGTGGGATATGATCGCATAGACATGTTAGATGGGCATAAAACTCAGGCCCGTCACGAATGACACATATCAGTGACGGACCATAGTTTATGTCCGATTGAGATAGCATTAGTGTGACCATATCTCAATCGGTACCAACTAGGCCAGTCACAGATGACTCATCCGTGATGGGCTCTATCATATGCCCGATCGAGATTACTTAGTATTTTTTCCATTTGTCATATGAAATGTTTTTATTTGTGAGTTGACTTGTAGCAAAATAATTAACTGCAGTATAATAATTCATTTTATTATTCAAAATAACTTTTCGGGTAGTAAATGATTTCAAATGGAAAAATTGTCAACAACAAACTTGTATAACTTATAAATATTTACAACTTTCATTTTGATCATTTTTCTATATAACTTTTTTTAAACAGTTTGAATTTATATTTAAAAATATGACAACTTCAAACAATATTTTTAAATAATAAATGATTTCAAATGAAAAAATTATCAACAACAAAGTTGTATATCTTACCAAGATTTACAGCTTTTATTTTGGTCATTTTTCTATATAACGTTTTTTTAAACAGTTTTTATTTGAATTTGAATATATGACAACTTCAAAACAACATTTTCAAATACTAAATGATTTGAATTAAAAAAGTTATCAACAACAAAGTTGTATAACTCATCAAGATCGATAACTTTTATTTTGGTCATTTTTCTATATAACATTTTTTGAACAGTTTGAATTTGAATTTGAAAATATGACAACTTCAAACAACATTTTTAAATACTAAATGATTTCAACTAAAAAAGTCATCAACAACAAAGTTGTATAACTCACCAAGATCTATAACTTTTATGTTTACCATTTCTTCATCCGACAAAGTGTTAGTAACATTATTCACAAAATTTACATATATGTGTTATAGTTTATAAAACCAGATGAGAGATATGTGAATTTTGTGAACAATGTTACTACCACTTTGTCGGATGAAGAAATAACCAAAATAAAAGTTATAGATCTTGATGAGTTATACAACTTTATTGTTGATGACTTTTTCAGTTGAAATCATTTAGTATTTGAGAATGTTGTTTGAAGTTCTCATATTTTCAAATTCAAATTCAAACTGTTCAAAAAAATGTTGTATAGAAAAATGAACAAAATAAAACTTATAGATATTGATGAGTTATACAACTTTGTTGTTAATGACTTTTTCAGTTGAAATCATTTAGTATTTGAAAATGTTGTTTGAAGTTGTCATATTTTTAAATTCAAATTCAAACTGTTCAAGAAAATATTATATAGAAAAAAGACGAAAGTAAAAGTTATAGATCTTGATGAGTTATACAACTTTGGTGTTGACAATTTTTCCATTTGAAATTATTTACTACCCGAAAAAAATATTTGAATTTCTTATATTTTAAAATTCAATTTTTATATAGTTCAATCAAACCCGGATAGAGAAATGACCAAAATAAAAATGGTAGATCTCAATGAGTTCTACAACTTTGTTTTTGACAGATTTTTCATATAAGTTCATTTAGTATCATAAAATTCAATTCGAAATTCATTTTTTCCTAGAAGTCTGATTTGCCTCCTCCTCATGGTAATACTTGCTAAATATATATTTGATCCAATTAACTCGGTTTTGCTGGTGAAATATGTGATCAAAATGGATGTTATGTGAATATGTTTATGTTATGTGAATGAATGTATATGAATAGGGGATGTTTGGGTGTGACATCCTGGCCTAGAGCTTAATAGGATTAATAGAATACTCATACCAAAAAATTACAATTTTTTTCTTGGAAGCCAATCTCCAAAAAAAAACTATGAGGTTAAGCGTGCTTGGCTTAGAGCAATTCCGGGATGACTACTATGGTTAAGAAATTGCAACCTTCCAAATAGGAACTCGCCAATCCATGGGTATACCAAGAAGTTACAAAAGTTGTCTCTGTAAACCAACCTCCTCAAGCGAAATAAGCACAAGGAAATTTCACAAATAAATTGTCCAAGGTGAATTTTTGCTGATCTTTCTTCCCAAGAATCATGATGTTACTATCGAAATTTGAAGTCCTTTGATTTTCATTTATTAAAGAGTGTTTAATCGGGATGGGTGACCGACCGAAAAATTCTTCCTGGGTGCACACGAGTCCGAATGGGTGATCGACCAGGAAGGCACACGAGTGAGGGCAAAAGCCTGAGGCTAATAAAATAAGAAAAAATATTTTTTTATGGATTATACTCATTAGTGACGGGCTATAATCCAGGCCCGTTAGGGATGAGAGTCATCCGTGACGGGCCATAATCTAGACCCGTTAGAGATGAGAGTCATCCGTGACGAGCTATAATCTAGGTCCGTTAGAGATGGGAGTCATCCGCGATGGGCTTTTGTGTTGGCCCAATTGAGATGTGTCATCCGTAACGGCCGGATGCCCGATTGAGATATTTTCTCACATCACTAACATTTGCTTAGTGATGGGGGCTCTGCTCGAAAGAAATGATGTTTTAAGCTCGTTAGAGATAACCGATCCTGTTCTAGTGCCCCCACTCTGCGCGTGCCACGTGTGCAGTCATGCGGAGAGGGCCGCGCGCTAAATAGTCGTTTCGCGTGCACAGAGTGTCAAATAGATATGTTGGCCCACATGTAACGTTGGTTTGGTTTAAAGAAAGTCCATTTACAGTTAATATTATGGTCATGCCATTACGGTCCAAGCAACAACATGATCTTTCTTCTAATTAATATAAGAGCTCGTAAAAGTGTCTAATTAGTAGATAGATAGATGTATAGATAAATATATAGATAGATACGATGTATATATAGGACAACGTATCGTATGCATACAGCTAGGTAGATGCACTTATGCACACGTCCATCCGGAGCCTTTGAATCAACATCCTGCGGCCAAGACCCCAAGTGGGGTATTTTTGCAATTAGCCGCACGTCTCCTCCACTTACTTTTACAAAAGACCCCTCCACAACTCTCTTCTTCACTCACGCAGCCCATTTTGCAAAAAAAAAAGAAGAAAAAAAAAGAAAACTCATCACATTCTGGATCTAGCACAACGGGCACAAAGCACGCGCATCATCGGGCTTCATCGGCGGAAAGGGCGATAGATAGATAGATAGATAGATAGGTAGATTTGCTTATATTTCTAACAGAAGAACTCTTCAATTAACGAACATGCAGAAACCTTGTTTGGCTTGGGGAATTGATTTTGCGAGGTTTAAACGACGAACACGTACGAGTCGCAATACACTCTAAATTTAGATCACCAACTGCATGCAGAGTGCAGATCACAAGCTAACTGCTTAGAGTTTGTCATTCTAGCTTGTTGTCACAGACGCACACGCGTATTGGGACAATCTAAAATCCTATATATAGTTCGATCCCACGACGGCGTCCAATCTCCAGCTAGCTGCCTAGCTCCGCTCCTCGCTGGCCCGGCCGACGGGCGTGAGGACGAAGAGCTTGCACGAGTGCGCCGCCACCTCCGCCGTCAGGCTGCCGGTGAACCTCCCCGGCGCCGTCGCGTGCTGCAGGCAACGCAACGCAACCACGGTTACGAAGAGAATGAATGAATCGTCAGCAGTAAGACAGATTTTTTGAGATGATGCATGGCAGAAGCAGAAGGATGGATCACGGATCGATGCGAGAATTACTACTCACCAGCCAGACGTTCTTCGCCTCGACGGCGACGCCGGGGCCGACGCCGATGTCCTGCCACGCCGCCGTGATCTGCCGGCTGCCCGTGGCGCCGCGGTTCAGCAGCAGCACCGCCGTCCTCTGCTGGGAGAGCGGCCCTGCCCATACCTGTAGGAAGATGTGATTCAAGATCGCGATTTAGTTTGGAATGAAAATCTGTTGATGATTTTTGGTAGTAGCTATAATAATGCTGCACACCTCGATTTCGTTGTCGTACTTCCTGACTTTCTTTCCCTGGACGCCCAATGGATCTGCGTCACATTGTTCGTTTGATAAGAACAAGTGTTTCAGTAACAACAAATTAAGAAAAAATACAGTGGCTAAGAATGACTTTTTCTTAATGCTGATCTGACCTTGGTTAATGGCGATGACTTCAGGGTTGGAGAGGATCTCCATCGTCTCCCTGGAGATACTCCTCACGTCGCACCCGATGATCAGAGGAGCCTGCAAAAGCATTCACAAACATAAGAATCATTCAAGAATCTCAACTGAATTCGACAAAGACCAGAGATCAGAGATCAAGATTTTCAGAGATGGTGTGTGCCAACCAACCTTGGCAATCGCCCAAAGGCTGATGTGCACGACGTACTCGTCGTTCGTCATCCCTCCATTGCCGACCTCCAGCATGTCAGGATCTGCAGGGAACAAATTAGAGACAGACAGACAGACAGATATATAGCAGATCAACGAAGACGACGAAGGTGAGGAGGCCAGCTATACCGTTCCAGCCGCCGGGCTTGGCGTAGCTGGCGGAGGCGTCGTTGCTGTCGATGTTGCTCAGCATGCTGCTCGATTACATCAATCACCGGCAAACAAACGCAGAAATCAAAGGAAAGGACAAGACACATCACACATGTCGCGATCAGCATAATGCAACCGAAATCGGTCGCCGGCCGGAGCAGAGGGCCAGCGGCTCGCGGCGGCGGCGGCGGTTTACCTGGCCCATGAGTCATTGATGTCGCCGGTGGTCCTCCAGCTGTTGCCGTACTGGCCACCCCACGTCGCCACATTCCTCTGGCCCCTGAAGATCACGCCGGCCAAGCTCAAATCTCAGGAAAAATGTTTAGTAAAGTAAACAACGAAGAAAATATTTTACTATCTCTCTATTTGTTTTTTAATAGATGATGTTGGTAACTTTTGACCATTCCTCTTATTTAAACGTAATTATTATTTATTTTGTTGTGAGTTATTTTATCACTAAAAGTACTTTAAGTATAATTCATACATTATGCATTTGAATAATATTTCTGAATAAGACAAATGATCAAATGTTTGATCGAAAGTTAATGGTGTTGTTTATTTAAGAATAGAGAAAGTATGTGTTTGTTAACCTCATCGAACTATGGTGGCGCCTTTGGTAAAATAAATACATGTGGATGTATATATGATTGATTTGATTAAGTGTAGTTATATCTGGAGTTACTTAACTTTTGAACTGTTTAATGTGTGTTTGGTTTGTTTACCAATATTTGGTAATACCAGTTATTAGGTTACAATTTTTTACACAAGGCCAGTACAACGTACCATTCGCAGATCGAGTAGAAGATCGGACGTCCGGTTTTTCTCAGAGCGAAAGACATCTTGGGGAATCTGAGGATGCATGAACCAATATGTGAACTTGGGAATTGGGAGGAATTTGCGATGAACAATTATCTTACGTGAGGTGCTGCTAGAGAATCTGTATATACCTGACGGTTTCGCTCGAGCCGTCACTGTTGCAGTTGTCGTACTTCAAGTAATCCACACCCTGCTTTCGCATATTGGTCACAAGAACGTAAAAATGTTCAACAAAATTTTCCTTTTTCTTCCAGGAATAATAAATCCTGGGTCTGTTTACTTGGATTAGGAAAATAATGGAATAAATTTCGGACATGCATGTATGTATGTATGATTAACAGAAACATGCAGAGTCACATATGGCATTTATGCCTAGAAAGTTCTGTACAACGGATTACCCATGATGCAAATGTCTTAGCATCGATGTCCTCGTAGCCCAGAGATCCGGGCATCGTTTTGCTGCAAGTTCTTGAGCTGAATATTGTACGAAAACAATTCCGATTCCGTTTTAGCATGATGAAATAACAACCATTTCCTCTTGTTTTCTTGAGACTATATATTACTTACCCGGCTGAAGAGTATATGCCTAGTTTAAGCCCCTTGCTGTGCACATAATCTGCGAGTGCCTTAATCCCCGAAGGGAACTTCTTTGGATCAGCAGCTATGTAACCCTGATGATACTCAAAGAGTGTTAATATTTAACATAGCATGTTAGAAGAGTGCACTGATAAGTTAATTAATGTTCAGGGAGAAGTACATGTTATGCCTCTGTAACTGAAAACAAAAAAAAAAAAAGAAAAAAAAAAGGAGGAAAATAAGAAGGCTTGCCTCTTTGGTCCTTTGGTAATCTGCCCAGCAATCATCTGTGGTCAATTAAATGCAGTGTGATGTTAGCTAGCCTATTTGGCACTCCCTCCAAATATCAAATTAATAGTACTAATTAATCAATACACAAATTAATATATACTCCACCTAAGTTGACATAAGTGTATCCAGCCTTCGTGAGCCCGGTGGAGATGAGTGCGTCAACTGGTTGATTTTAAAAATCCACATCAGAATTAGACCATATTTTGATATATAAAACTAGTATACATTTCGGCGATAATCTAATATGTTCATATGATTGGACACTTCCAGAAAATTCCCATGCTAGTTGGAAAAATTACGAAGTCCACCGACTTATTAGATGAGATATATATGGTATAACATCTTATCATTCCTCACTGTGGCAATGCTAGAAAGTCTTATAATATGAAACGAAGGAAGTATTAACTAGTTGGCGACCTGTGCAATCATAAACTATTTACTTATGTGCCTTATACCTAATCAGAATTGTTATAATTCAAAAGAAACCAAAAATCGAATTTAGAATTAATAACTATTAAGCTATATATATTCGGTTTGGAGTCCCAATCGTATATATATAGTTTTTAATTCCCAAAATGGGAATTCATAAATGAGATATAGGTATAAATGCATAGATATAGATAGAGCTGAAGAAAGACATAGACATAGACATAGATATATTCAGATATAGATATAAACTCCACTTAAATAGTAGATCACAAGAAAACAAGGCCTTAATGTAAACAGATTGCAGGGCTTCATACATGCACCTACAACTAATAAAAGGGGAAAACTAAAACGTTTCTGTGACTCTTGTTTTCGGGCTCTAAAATTTTGACGGTATTCTTACTCCGACTGTAAAAAGGAAATATATTATAGACATATACTCCTATATGTTGTTTCTGTTTGAAAAAAAAAAGAACGTTTCCCATGTTGATGCTCAGTTTGTTTTCGGCGTGTCTCGCTACTCGCATACCGCTTATCATGTTTTACTCTCAACACAAAATTCATATACATATTGAATAATTTTAGTTCAACACAACATTGTATTATCAAGTCGATCAATATGATAGATACGTGTATATCCATAAGGTTTGGTCATTAATTTAAAGCTTAAATTACCGGTGCTCCGGATGGTGTTCTCGTTGATGTTGCACCCGAAATGATTCCAACTGTTCCACCTGAAAAAAGAAAAAACAGATCGGACATGAACGCACGCGAGAGATCGATCAGATCGAGCAGATGGAATTAATTCAACGCTAGCTATCCTTCTTCTCATGGAGGAAAAAGAAAAGGAAAAACCCAAACCCTCTCACCCCATCTGCGGCGTCCGCCCGAGCCCGTTGTCGAGGAGGCTGCGGCGAGCGGCATCATCACCACCGCCGGCCGCCGACGAAGCGGCAGCCCATGCTGCCGTCGACGCGACGGCGGCGGCGGAGAGGAGGAAGAGGACGAGAGACCGCCGTGGCAAAGCGTAGGAGCCCATGGCCACCACCTCCGTTCACCTTGCGAGCGAGCTAGCTACCTGGCTCTCTTTTGGTTGTTTCCCTCACAAAACTACGTACGTACCTAGCTGCTGTGGCTGGAGCAAAACTCCTCTACGGTGGCGAGTTGCTGCTTCTTGTCATCTTGACGCGCCCTTATATTGGCCTTTGGTGGTGGCTCTACCTGAACAGGATTTTCCTGTTGCGTTTATTTCCTATTTTTCCCTTTGCAAAATCTGCCCATTTTTTCATGGGAAAAGCAATATTTTCCCCCCATTTTGTCACCAGTACTGTCATAAGTTTGGTGGGGCCCAATGCCAGCTACAGCAGCGAGTATTTTTTGCTAAAAAATAAATTGTTGCGTTGCAATGTTTGCACAACGAGGATGACACTATATGACATCATTTGTACATTGAATTCGTGCTGTTTTAATTCCTCTGCTTGCTCCTTTTGTCTTTGGTGCAGCCTGTGTGATGTTTGATGGCGCCACCAACTTTGCTTTCTGTTTTTGGGTTTGTCATTATATATCCTCGTGCGTGCAGAGTATGGGGGCAACCAGCCTCCATGGATGGCATGCCCGTTGAAACTCAAAAGCTAAGTATATCCATAGGATAATTAAGCCAGTGAACATTCCCAACATGGGTGAATGTTTTGATTTGGGCAGGCAAAAGAGGTTCAGCAGAACTGTTGATAATTTGTCGGAACTTGGAATAGGTTCCCCATTTGCACTGTCGATTTTTCGCAAAACCAATCAGATTTTGCGATTCGGAATTTGAATGCTGGAATGGAGGTCAGACATGCGAGAATTGGATTTAATACCTTCCTATCTAAGTATATAACGCGGGGGGGGGGGGGGTGAATACCTCAGTTTAAATTTTATAGTGACCTATTCCGAGTTCACGTGAAGGATGAGTTACCCTTCCTTGAAAGTAAACCTTACTATTATTAAATCAACTCATTGATGAGGATGCCACACTGGATATAGATGATTATATTTTTGGTGTTTTTTACTATATTTAAATGTTTGTATAGGATATGTATGTGACAGTATTATGGCGTGTATGATACGATATTGTAACACCCTGAAAATTTTGAGTTTGAAATACGGAATCAAAATTTGGAATAACCAAAAATCTTTTTTTTTCCAAAATCCTTCATGCTGGTGTTTATTGCGTCTTACTTTCTTTTTCTGTTGTGCTTGGACCACAAGGACGAAAATCTAGGAATAAAATCTATTTTGGATCGAATATCTATTATATTATTAAAACAGTTTTGAAAGGAGACACCACGTTCGCTGTGGGGGCTAAAAATTCCCACATTAATCGGAGAAAAAGAAAAAAAAGAAAAGGAGAGTCCAAGTAGAAATACAATTAAAAATAGCTGAAATTCAGAATTAAAAATAAGCTATATTGAAAGAAGTTTCCATATAAGAACCCAATACGAGATTAATACAAATTCAAAATAAAAATAAAATAAAATCCGAAATTATAAAATAAGAGAGTCCAAGTAGGAATACAATTTAAAAATAGCTGAAATTCGGAATTAAAAATAATGAATATTGAGAGAAGAGTCCATATAAGAACCCAATACGAGATTAGTTAATATTCAGAATAAAAATAAAAAAAATTCGAAATTAGCAAAAAGAAAAGAAAAGTTAAAGTAGGAATACAATTTAAAATCAACTGAAAATCGGAATTAAAAATAAGCAATAGTGAAAAAAGAATCCATATAAGAAACCAATATGAGATTAATTAAAATTCAGAATAAAAAATAAAATAATATCCAAAATTAGTAAAAAATAAAAGAGAGTTCAACTGAAATTCAAAAAATAAAAAAAATTAAAAATTAAAAGAACACTATACGGTATTAATTAAAAAAATTTTAAATTAGAAAAAGCAAAAAAAGATTTCAATTAGGTATAGTGGTGGCAGTTGATACGATATGTAAAAACTGTTAGTAAAACACCAAATAGAATCCTAATGATGATTAAAAGGAGGGACGGGCAAGACGGTTGCCGGGACTTCTAGAAAGTAAAAAAAAACACCCCATTGATAAACATATTCGATTTTTAAAATCTTAATGAGAATAAAAAAGAGAAGCAACGTGCATGGTGTATAGGAGTATAGTTCAGAGCTGCCGACGATTGGCGGGACTTCTAGAAAATAAAAAATAAATTCCAATGATAGTTATGTTCGATTTTAGAATCCCAATGAAAATAAAGAATAGGCAGCGGATGAGCCGTAGAGGTGTATAGTGGTATCGTTTGACGGGACTTCTAAAAATTATAAAAAATGAAACCCAACAAGACAATAAACTCTAAAAACTATAAGGTCCAATTTTTAAAGGTTCGAAACTTCTAAAAAGTAAAAATAAAACAATGATAATCATGATACATTTTAAAATCTCAATGACAATAAAGAAGGGAGACAGCGGGCGAGCCATAAAGGAGTACAATGGCAAAGCTGCTGATGGTTTGGCGGGACTTATAGAAAGTAAAAAAAGAACCCGAACGATAATTATGTTTGATTTGTAAAATCCCAATGAAAATAAAGAGAAAAGACAGTGGACGGGCCGTAGTGGAGTATAATGGCACCGTTTGACGGGACTTCTAGAAATTATAAAAATGAAACCCAACGAGATAATAAACTCAGAAAACTGTAAGATCCAATTTTTAGAGGTTTCAAAGAGAATGAATAGAAATAGTGGTAGACCGAGGAAACAAAAGAAGGATATGACAGAAGTAAGGGGTAGCAGCTGGTGTGACTTTTAAAAACTATATAATTAGAAATACGAGGATAGCTATTTAATAAATCTTAAGTAAAATTATAGTGAAAAATATATGATTTTGTTTGGGTGCTAGCCGCGCAATTGCGCGGGCCACCCAGCTAGTTATTTATTAAAAGAACCATGATTATGAAATAAGAAAATATTTGTAATTACAAATTATCTTCCTAAAAAAACCTTATTCCTATAATTGGAACCCCTTTTGGGTATTTATTTTACGAGTGCTTGTAATCACTAAATATTTAAAGAAAGCCCTTTTAGGGATAATTCCCTCTCCGGGAATTATTTTATCTAATATTAATGGATATCTGAAAGTCCCTTTTAAGAAATAATATTTTGGTTTGGTTCTATAAATAAAGACTAGTGAGGATTTGTCATAAAAATCCTACTTACGAACTTATATCTTAAAAGAACTTATTTCAAAAGAATGCACAGATAAGTCTGGTTTTCTTCCTTGAAGGGCTTAGCCCAGCCCGCACAATAGGTCCTGTGTTTATTTGAGTGCATTTATGATTATGTGCCCAAGATCTCGATTAAATCAATCCTTGTAAATCCCCACTCATGCCGTACATTAAATCCCTCAGGATTCGAATTCCATAATTCGATCCTCCTTTTAATTGAACCCCTCCCGAACAATTTATTCCATTATCCAGGAATACTCAAACCCAGTAGTTTTTACAGAATCGCCACCTAGGGTAATGTCCCTTCCTTGACCTCTCCCCTCTCCGTCCGTTTCGTTAAGCATTTCGGTGCTAAGCTAATTGAAGTCCCGAAACCCTTGCCATTTGTCGCAATCCTTCCTTGGACCCTTGGGATACTTGAGTTGAATCGAAACCCACTCCGTTTATTCGGGTTTGCTTTCCTCAGATCCCTTTCCTTTAATTCCAACTTAACACTAAGTACCCTGATTTAGGTCTTGTCATCATCAGTCCTACGATTTCCGATGAATTCATTTACCGGACGACGGTTCTAAATCTTTGTGGAAGAATCAATCCATCCATCTAAGCGATCTCTCAAAATCCTTAATTTCGGCTTTTCACCCTAAAATCGTTCGTCGAAGTCGAATGCCGTGTGTTGATCTGAATATCTTTGAAATCATCTCTACCTTCGAAACCCTATCATGTTCAATGGATCGGTGTGCCCACGACAGTTCTAAGCCTCCCTTTGTTATCGCAAGTCGCCCTTTTGAGTGAATGCAAGAAAATCTAGATTGAATCCTTGAGCGACCAATTAGCCAAATCAAAATTCAAAAGTCCAATTATACAGTCCGAGTAGAGAGCCAAATTGAATGTCCAGTTATACAGTCCATTTGCAAAGTCTTGAATTCAAATCCCAATTCAAACTCCTTAGCAAAGTTTCCTAGTAATTATCAAGAGGAATAAGTTCACTTTGTGACCGTCAAAAGTGATTGAAATCTAATCCGTGACCCTAAACCACAAAACCGTATATCTCGACCCCCCAGCCCCCAACTGTTAAAACCGGTGCAATTTGACTCCCTCGACGGTTTTGGAGAGCGGTTTTGCTGACGTGGTGCCTACGTGGCAATATTGACTAGATCTTCTTTCCACGTGGTGTTGACATGGCGCTTAGGTGGCATTAAAAAATAAAAAAATATGTATGGGACCCCTTTGTCATTCACCAAAAGTATGAGTGGGACCCACTGACATGTTGGGCCCACATAAATCTCTCTTCATCCTCCCCCCTCTCTCTCTTTCTCTTCCCTTCGGCGAGTGGCGGCAGTGGGACGGGGGCTAGCGGCGGCGGGAGGGCGGGCGGGCAAGGGCCGGATCCCCTAGTGGGAGGACGAGGGGAACGGCGGCGGGCGGAAGTCGGCGGCGTGCTGTGAGAAGGGCGGCGATTGGCTGTGAGGAGGACGGCGCCCGATGGCGGGCGGTGAAGAGGCCGAGAGTTGGTGAAGGACCAATGTGGGGAGGGTGCTGAAGGTTGCCGGTGGAGTGGTCACAGGCTGCTGTCGCCGCTAGGAAGGACTCGAGACCAACCAATGGGGCGGCCGCCGCGGCAAGCGTGAGCAAGGAGATGGGGAGTAAGGGGAGGAGGAGGAAGGGCGGGGTCAAGCCATGGCTGGTCCATCGACTTCGGTATCCGCCGCCCCAATCTCTTCCTCCACTGGGTCCTCCCCGCGCGCCGATTTGTTTTGCCACTACCGGCCAGCTCTCGGGTTCATCGTCCTGGCTACGGCGAGGAAGGTGTTGTGGTAGGCGAGAGTCGGTGAGAAGACGGAGGTGAGAGAGAGGGGATTGGAATTGGTGAGCTCGAGCTCGCCATCCCGACCTCCGTGAGCTCGAGCTCGCCATCCCGACCTCCATCTTCTTCCCCCGATGCCTGTTTGCTCCCTACCATCGGCTCATGGTGGCGTCACCGGAGCAGCGTCTTCCCCAGGAGAGAGGTCCGCCGTGGCTCCCACCCGCCGCCGTTCCCCTCGTTCTCCCACTAGGGGATCCC